TTAGTACATCAGCTAACTACCAATAACAGTCCCGTCAAAATCGGTCCAGTCATTCTGGAGATATACCAGTACAAACCGACAGGCAGACGGACAAAAATTGTAAAAAATAGTAAAACGTTGTTTTGGAATGTGTATCGTATGTAGAGGTATTTTCATATGCATGTAGTAACAAGCGGTTATTTTAATATTACGAACAGATACTCCAATTATATATATATCTGTATAGATTACTTGCTTTCCACCCGCGGTTTCTCTTTGAATTCAGGACACTTCTTTCATGTAGGTCCCGAATCTCAAGGGTTTTTGGAAAAAGACTACTACGCTTAACCACCCCCTTTCCAGTTTAATGTTTGTAATCTGCCTTGAGCAAGCGCGCCTAATTGGGCCTCCAGTAACCTCACTCACACGACGAAACACAACGCTAGCGTTGTTTCACGTTGGTCTTCTGTGGTATCACTCCGGTCGAGGCGGCCCATTCGCGCCGAAGCATGCCTCTCCCACACATAGTTATTGGATATCTACCACGTATATTACGCATTACTTTATCGATTCCCATTATCAGTATGTAACTATGGGATTTATATCGTTAAGCGTGAGTTAGCCATTATCATGTATACCTAATGTGACTAACATTACTATATATGCAGTTATCCTAACCGTTACATTCCTTCAAGGGAATTTCAACTTTACCACAAAACTGTAAAGTTTAAATTATCTTGATTTAGTTTTGTAGCTGAAGTTTTCATTCATTCTGAGGAAAATGTTATCGACATATAGAACAATATTGTTAAACGCTTGATTCATATAAAGGGACATTCAGTACTTCATGGTTGTTATCAGAATAAATACATATTGTATGTTAGTCCGGTCATGATCTATACACATATGTACTACCCGAGCGTACGGCGCGTCGCGTTCCGCGCGCGCTTCAAAGAGCCATCAGACCACCACAGATGGGGCCCAATAGGGCCGATGCCGATTCGGAGTCGCGGAGAACCTAACGGGTAACCGGGGCTCCGACTCGACGTGCAGGAGAAGGAACGGGGTGGTTTTTAGTCAGTAAGAGTCTGACACTCCCTCCCGCCTCACCCAGGCGGGAGCAGTCATTAGATGATTTTCCCCCTAAAAAAAAAAAATACACATATGTACTATTAGGCTAGGTACACACTACACTTATACTGACTGACTGCCTCGTTCGCGTTGGCCGAGTGGTCGCAAGTGTGACTGCCGGGCAAGGGTCTCGAGTTCTATTCCCGGGTCGGGCAAACAAAGTATTACAGGGTTTTTAATAAAATCTCAGTAGTAGCACGAAGTTTGGAATTGTGCCCGTTATATGGCAATAGGCTCACCCTAAAAGTCCACACTGTTTATAAATGATTCAATTTGAATTTATGTTTGATAATGAAAGAGAAGTGCTGATTTTATTATCAAGCATAAACTTAGAACGCTTTTTTTTTGAGGGGAATATCGTCCAATGACTTCTTTCGCCCGGGTGCGGCAAGTAAGAGTGTCAGACTCTTACTGACTAAAAACGACCCTGTTCCTACTCCTGCACTTCCAACCGGAGCCCCGGCAACATGTTAAGTCCTCCGCGGCCCCAAACTTAGAACTGCTCGACTAATATGGAGGAAAAATTGCGGAAAAAGAGTAACGTTTGTTCGATTAAAGCTAAATTGAAATAAATATCTTTGAGACTTTGTCGGAACATATTAATATGAGTTTATATAGACTTATTGCGTCTTGGGTAATAGAAGTCCCACAATGGGAACTTAAACAAGCTTATTCAAAATTTATAAACAATATAGAATTGTTGATAGATTACATATAATGGAGTTAGATTACTAATTCTAGTGTTCCAAGCCACGTGTATCCCCCGTAACACGTGTCCTCCATACCATTGTATAGGAAATCTTTTTTTTTCCAAAACACGTGGGCGCCTGTTGATCATAACCTGACAGTATGTTTACAAAGACCGATAGTCTATGAATGGGTCCACAGAGGAATAATAAAATTTTCCATTGCCTTCGTCCGGCCTGTTTATAAAACAGTGTCAGTTGACACTTTGATTCTTCCATATTTGAAAAATAACCCGCTTAGAATTGTGTTCTAGATTCAAAATAGAGAATATTCTAGATGCAGTTTGAATGTAATGTTTTGACTTGAAATGTGACGACGTCATTGACATATTTTGTACATGTTAATGCCTTCTCCCATGCAACAAAGGCGTGTTGTAGTACACGCAAGTGCATGTATGTTGATGTACAGTTGTATACATTTTAGAACTAATAGTTCCTTGTATTTACAGCTTCAGGCAGCTGCATAAAGGTCAAATGAGCCTGACCGACGCGGCATTTTAACCTGAGAACCTAACGGGTAACTGGTGCTCCGGCTCGACGTGCAGGAGAAGGAACGGTGCGGTTCTTAGTAAGAGTCTGACACTCCCTCCCGCCTCACCCAGGCGGGAGCAGTCATTCGATGATATTCCCCCCTTAAAAAAAGATGGGATGATCCTTGCAATACCAAATTGTGTTGTTCAATAATTATCATCCAATAAATTCTATTTTACTTTCAATAAATAATGCACATAATATAATATCCTATTATATCTACAAATATGGCACAGAAATTGGCAACTCTCCCGCGAAGTATTGCCAAAAACCGTTAATGTTGCTATGCTGTCATAATAGGAATTCTATAGATAGTAAGTCTGAGAATAGTGATAGTGATTTGACAATAAGTACATCAAATAGCGATATAAAGATCTTGTTCTGATGAAAGATGTACAAGCTGTTTATAGAAATTGTTCATACAAAGTAATACATTCCTTGGCAATGTAGGTAATGAAATTACTTAAATTGTTATTTATTAAAAAGTAGATTGGCCTAAAGTCTAAATTAATATTGTAAAGATAAAGCTCGATTTTGTGTCTTAGATGTTATTTCGTGGGTTCGGTCCCTTTTCAATATGAGGTAGGTACATTTATGTGGAATATTATTACCTATTCGTATAGTAAATTTATCGTAACAGGAAATAAATTTTATTTGAATTTGTTATGCGTTTATCCGCTATTAAGATTCGGTTGCAATAGGGTAGAAGACAATTTTTTATTTTAATGTCCGTCTGGTAGATTATTTAAAAACATTAGACACGTAATTTTTATTTTCTTACGAAAACGAATAGTTTCGAAGATATATTGATTTGAAATATCGCATGACGTCAGTTACGATTTATACTCTATGTCGTAGCTACCTCCCACTCCTAAACTTTGATTCGTTTTATCTAAGTATTGTTTTCTTATACGAAAAAATAAAAAAAATACGTGTGTAATATTTTTTCATTACCTAACTGACGGACTAATTAGATTTTTAATTTTCATACCCTGTCATCATCCCTATTGGTTCAGAAAACGTTTCTATTTGCTCTTATGCCCGAAGCGACTTGAGTATCTATGGACATTTATTCTAAGTTAAAAATTAATTAGATATTACTGCCTAACTGACAAAGTCGCTCATTTGGTTTCAAGCCACGGTAGGGTTTATATTTAAGCAAAATAAACAAAAATGGTGGTCTTAAAGCGTTTCAGACAACCCTTACCAATGCTTGTTGGCACGGAAATAAGAAAATAGTCGCGGCGAGACGATTAATCAATCCTAATAGCAGATTATTAATTTAATTAGTACGCTAAATGCCTGGCTGAAACCTAGATATCAGGAAGTCTACTAAGATTCTGGTTTTTGGCAATCATATCGAATAAATGTTTTCGTCAATCCTTACACTAACGATGTTATTTCATGATCACTGAAGGTACGAAACTGAACGACGGATAACGATTCTTCTAAACAGGTGTGAAAACGAATGGAGTTTCTTGCTCGTTCTTCTCCATTCGAATCTACATTTTGGAATGAGCACCTAGCTTCACCTAGCTTCACTGACGGACTGACTGACAGACTATTATTTATTTTGTATTTGTTGACGTTTCAAAAGTACCAAATTATGGTTTATTTGAAATAAATGCTTTGACTTTGACTTTGGTGTGTGTAATGTCGCTTATTAATAGTGTTCCGTATAGGCATCAAACATTTGTAGTTGATCATTCAGCAACTCCGCCAACCGTTTACTTCATTTGAACAACCATTTATTTTTAACTAACTGTTGCCTGCCACTTTTTACGTGTACAATATGATTCCTGTTTTTTTCCATGGGAGCATTTAATCGGAATAAAAAACATTCTCCCCCTAAAGCAGCCCATACTCTGTCTGTATACCATATTATATCAAAATCCGTTCAGTAGTTTCAGCGTGATTGATGGAAAAACATCCAAACAAATAGATTTCCACGTTTACAATATTAGTGTGATACAGTCCTGCCCTACCCTTCCAGAGAAACAATCAATATTAAATACATTACTATGTCAATAAAGCATCAATCGGAAGCAATGTTTAACCGATATACGCAAAGAAAGGCCATTCAGGTATCGATTGCAAAAACGATGCGGAAATCGTCGTCGGCCGTGGAAAAAAGCTTGCGCTCATGGAACATCCAAACATCCGAACAAAGAAACTTTCACATTTGTAATATTAGTGTGATCATTATACCAAGAGATTAACATAACATCACGCCTTTTATCCCGAAGGTGTAGGCAGAGGTGCACATTACGCCACTGTACAATGTAACACCCACTTTTCACTATTTATGTTATGAGTCCCATGTAATAGGAGGTGAGTCTATTGACATATACCGGGTACAATTCCAGACTCCGTGCTACTACTGAGTATTACCTCAGTAATACTTTGCCCGACCCGGGAATCGAACCCGAGACCCCTTGCCCAGCAGTCGCACTTGTGACCACTTGGCCAACGAGGCAGTCCAAGAGTCCAGTACCAAGAGATTGTTACTATTAATAAAAAGAAATGCGTACCAAAGTTCTTATTTCCTAACTGCCTCTTCTATCTATGTAGTCCCTCCCAAGTTCTTCCTAACCGAATCTTCTTCTTCTGCAGGCTGACCGCGCCACCAACCTGATCCGTGGCACGAAGTACGAGCAGTACCTGCAAGTACGCGCTGACATCAAGGACTTCCGCGACAAGAACAAGCTGGACAAGATCATTGTTTTGTGGACGGCTAACACTGAACGGTACGTTTGTGGAGACACATGGCACACGTGAAAATGTTACCTCGGAATCAACGGATCACGTCATAAAAATCCTACATCGCAGCAGTAAAGTTTACATGCGAATTAACACTGATAGAAAATTCCAACGAGCAACTGTTGTTCAGAAAGCCTGGTCGGAGGATCCTCCTTTTCCGAACTTAGGGAACTTTACCACTCTGTTCCCTAAAGGAGGCCATACACGCTAGGTTATGCATGATGGTTATAACTGTGCATGCAAAACCGAGCACCGATGCACCGACAACTGTACAGTTTAATCAGATACACGCTAGGGCTTGCCTGTCGGTTATGCATGCACGGCTAAAACCATCATGCAAAACCAATCGTGTATGGCCTCCTTAAAAGTTTTAATGCAAGTTTTGACTCGTGAGAGAGCCACGAATTGGCCGGGTAAAAATTTTGTTGCTCGTTGGAGAATGGCTCTGCAACGGTTTCGGCACGATTGGGCCGCCATTGGAGTGATACCACGACCTCACATAACACAGACGCGAAGCAATGCTTGCGTTGAGTGCCATCATCATGAGGCATCTTCACTTGGGGGATTAAGATAAAATTGCCTTTTGCTTGTCTTTGTTTCGGGATAGCTAGTCTTCACAGTAGTGTATTTTTTTAATGCTTATTAATGGTCATGGCATAACAGATTATTAAGTCATGTCGCTCTCGGTCAGCCGATAACCTCGCTTCGCGTTCCTCGTTGCTTTCTTGGGAGCGCAAAGTCCTAGTCGGAATTATTTGCAAGAATTCTAGAATTCATGAATATTATTGAACCAATAAATCAAAAATGTTAGGTGATTTAACACTTTACAATAAAATTATTAATCGGACAGCAATTTGGAATCGTCTGTATAAATGACTCAACAATACAAACATTAATTAATGAATTAGTAATAATTATATAATAATTAATAATTAGTATTAGTAATTAATAATATTAAACTGTTAAACACCAAGCGGTCACCGGTGACCGCAACCTATTGTTCTATAATTGTGTCTATAATGACGGTACTCGACGAGTTAATTATTATCATCATTAATTAATTTATTTATTACATTCGCAATACCTTTTTGCACGCCACCTGACTAACCACGCTTTCTCGGGAGTTGTTAACAATCTATGAAGTAGTTATACATATGAAATAATTTATTATCTCTGGTTTCAGTTTCTGTGAGGTGCGGGAGGGAGTTCACGACACCTCAGAGAACATCGAGCGCGCCCTCCGCGACAACAACTCTGAGATCTCTCCCTCCACCATATTCGCACTCGCTGCTATTGATGAGAATGTGAGTGTATGCATTTGTATGTAGTAATATTCGTGATTCCGTACAATATGAAAAAGAGTGAGTTTTGTTAGATATTCTAGACTTCATTTCTTTGTAGTAGCAATCTAAAAAATTGGCCCCACCATGCTTATTCAGCAACAAGAAGAAGAAAAATGACAAGACATGGAAAACGAGATGAACTTTTCGTACGTAAATAAAAAGTTAATTAAGCACTGAAAAAGTAGAACGACGGAATAGTCTCTTATAAAAAGTTAGGTTTATAATTCTTTCTTTTTTTTCTCTTTAAAAAAAACGTTGCCCCACACTAGGATTTTCTCCTATGTCGTGGGTGCGTTTACAATCATACAAGTTCATACACATGACACCCAGACCCGAAACAACACACTAAGAGTTACTCCGTGCGGAAATCGAACCCGCTACATGTTGCGTGGCAGCCGGTTACCCAGTTACCGCGCCAACCGTGCAGTCAGAACTAAATCTAAACCAAAAACGAACGTTTAAATATTTATAAATATTGTGAAAACTAAAATTTGTCAATTATTTCCAGTGCATATACATAAACGGGTCGCCTCAGAACACGTTGGTAGGAGGCGTCGTGGAGCGCGCGGAGATGCGCGGAGTGTTCGTCGCGGGAGACGACTTCAAGTCCGGACAGACCAAACTCAAGTCTGTGCTTGTTGACTTCCTCGTCTCTGCTGGTGGGTAGCATTAGAGTCTACTTTATCTAGTCCGTTACGACATCCTAGGGGTGAAAAAAGACGGGCCTGCGGACGGCGAGCACGGGTGTCCCCGACTAGAACCAGGCCAGGTACAGCGCGTCGCGTTCCGCGCGCGCCTCCAGGAGCTATCAGACCACCACGGATGGGGCCTAACAGGGCTGATGCCGATACAGAGCCGCGGAAGACTTAACGGGTTACCGGGACTCCGGCTCGAAGTGGAACGGTGTGGTTTTTAGTCAGTAACAGCCTGACACTCCCTCTCACCTCATCCGGGCGGGACAAGCCATTGGATGATTTTCCCCCCTCAAAAAAAAAAGGTGAAAAGGACAAGAAAGTTCAAAGTAAAAAAGAAAAGGCAGCAATTAAGGCAATTACAAACCTTGTCCCGAAATTAATCGGTTTAAACACATCAAAAACAAATTATCTAGTTGCATCTAGGTGCATTTTATTCTGTGTGCCTGATCATTCAGTAGACAATTTATCATGTTTTATTAATATAGTATAGTGTAATGATATATGATGATGATTTTGTCTCCAGGACTGAAACCAGTGTCAATTGTCAGCTACAACCACCTGGGTAACAATGATGGCAAGAACCTCTCCGCACCTAAACAGTTCCGCTCAAAGGAGGTCAGTATATTGCAACAAGTTTATATTATTTGCCTACTGACTGGTAGGTTTCGAACCCGCACCCTCATGCATGAGAAGCGGGCGTCTTAACCTTCGAACTACCACGACCACGACACAACGTGTATATTATCTATACATATAAAAATGAAACCCTTTTCCCGTTGTCACGCCATAAAACAACGGCTGGATCGATTCTGCTGTATTTTTTGTCGTATTTGTTATTATTAGAAGAAGGTTTTTAAGACAAACAAAATTCTGAAAATCCTACGGGAACGGGAGAAAACGGGATTACGCGTACGAAGTCGCGGGCAGATGGTAGTCCGAAATAAATACCTTTTTAACTTCACAGATAACTAAGAGCAACGTGGTTGACGACATGGTGGAGTCCAACCAAGTTCTATACAAACCCGGCGAGAAGCCAGACCACGTCGTCGTCATCAAATATGTACCCTATGTCGGTGAGTTAACGTCGCATTTCATTTGTAGATTTAATCTAATTGAAACTATAGAACTCATAACGAAAATCTTTTATTTATCTGAATTAATCCACTTATGTTTACTTTTGAAACGTTCAAATAGAGTTATCTGAGGCCTTATTATGAGTTTGATTAAGTTTAAAGTATTCGAAACGAGTCGGCACTCTGATTGGTTGGTTCATTCGACCCGGCCAATCACAGCGCAGAACGCGTACTCGTTTTGAATACTTTATACGTAAATCAAATTCGTACTAAGGCCTCTGTCAGTCTATCTAATAGTGAAGCTATGCGCTTATGTCAGCCACAATACGTCAACTGCTGAACAATGATTGACTACATGACGACAAGACTGCACGGACGGTGCGGTGACTGGGCGACTGGCTGTCGTGGGTTCGATTCCCGTACGGAGCAACTCTTTGCGTGACCCATAAATTATTGTTTCGGGCCTGGGTGTCATGTGTATGTGAACTTGTATATTTGTAACGGACCCACGACACAAGAGAAAATCCTAGTGTAGGGCAACATTTTTTTTAATATTGTCCGATTAGCTGGTTGGAAGCGACCTGCAAACAGCAGCTCCCTTTATCAAGTCGTTCTTCGTTCATAAGACGACGGAGAAGATAAATATGCTGCTACAAGCCGGCACGAATCTTCAACGCTCTGAGTCATAGTGGGGATCGCTTTGCGCATTCCATACATTAGCGAGCCAATCGTCGTTGTTTTAGCGAGCGCCGGAAACGAATCACGAGTGACGTCTATGACGCAATGGCGCGGCGAACCAATCACTGACGCTCCCTGCCTCCGCATCTCACTTCATACTACTAAATAAGCCCGATATTTGACTTCTGCGCAAGTGAAGGTCAGCGCTAAAGATCCGTGCCGGCTTGTACTAAACTCCACCTTCACAACCCCAGGAGACTCGAAGCGCGCGATGGACGAGTACACGTCCGAGATCCTCCTGCACGGCACCAACACCATCGTGGTCCACAACACGTGCGAGGACTCCCTGCTGGCCGTCCCACTCATACTGGACCTCGTGCTACTCGCCGACCTGTTCTCACGGCTCGCGTTCCGAGAGACTGATAATTGTAAGCACTTCAGTTTAAATGTTTTTAAGTTAGACTTTCATTGCTGTTCGTCAAAAAACTCATCCCTTATTAATTATTTAAACTAGCTGTTGCTGCTGCGCGTCTTCGTCCGTAGAATATGAGTTTTAGGACATAACTTTTTTGTTTCATTTTTTCAAAATAGCCGGTATATTCGGTATTTCTTAGTACATCAGATACCTGCCTGTAAAATTCCCGTCAAAATCGGTCCAGTTATTTCAGACAGACAGACAAAGAATTAAAAAAATGTTATTTTGGTATAGGTATCGTATGTATATTCATATGCAGGTAGTAAAATGCGGTTATTTTAATATTACAAACAGACACTCCAATTTTATTTATCTGTATAGATTACTCAATTTATTTATGACAGCAACAGTGATTGTATATTGTAATGAAAATACTCTTTGTTTTCTTGTAGATTATACACGACTAGCTACTTCCGCGCGGTTTCACACGCTCTGCTCAGCTCCTATTGATCGTAGCGTGATGTTTTATAGCCTATAGCCATTCTCGATAAATGCGCTATCCAACAAAAAGAATTATTCAAATGAGACTTATAGTTACGGAGATTAGCGCGATCAAACAAACAAACAAAAAAAACAAACACTTTCGCTTTATATAATAGTAAGATAGAGCACATTAAAACTTGATATGACCTACAACATTGTTTAAGTGCATAAGACCATAAGACCAATATTTATATCGAGTATTCTCCTCCCCCCAGCATACGTCCGTCTGCACTGCGTGCTGTCCCCGCTGGCGTACTTGCTGAAGGCGCCGCTGGTGGCGAGCGGGGCGCCCGTCGTCAACGCGCTGTTCAAACAACGAGCCAACATCGACAACTTATTGAGGGCCGCCCTCGCCCTGCCGCCCAACAATAATCTCGGACTTGAACATAAGGTAAGCGATAATTAAATAATATTTACATTGCACATTTCATCATCATCACCATCATCAACAGCCGAAAGACGTCCTCTACCGAACAAAGGCCTCTTCCTTGGTCCTCCACGTCGAACGACAACTCGCCACTTGCATCCACTGGCTCCCCGTAACTCAACTTGCACATTATATTTGTGTGTATTTAAGATTTAAGGCAAGCTAGACTAGTTTCGAGACACACCGGGGCTCTTATTAATGTGTAGCAAAAAATGTCACTGCTCTCGTATCAATCATGAACAGTATTTTACACTTAGCAAGAAAGATCTGGTATTACATGGATAACTAGAAAACGGCTACATTTTTTTTTATAAAAAAATACAATGAAAAGCTCTACCAGAAATTATGGTAATTACATATTAACCAAAGCTTAGAAGTCTACATTCAAGCTAAAAGAAGAGTGCCTGAAATATTAACTATTTGATCGTTTCCAGGTACCATTCCTGATGAAGGAACTCCACAGCGGCGCCCTCTTCAACTCGCCACCAAACAAGAAGCAGAAACTTACGCACGCAAATGGTGATCAGTGAATCACCAATAACCACCCACTAGCCACTAATCACCATTAACCCCCTCACTAATCACCGTTCATAATTGCACGGCACAAAACTATTCATGAGCAGTATTCATTATCTTACTGCTATTGGTCATTTTATTATAGGGAATTTAATATGTAGGTATTGTCTTGTGCGTTGTAAAATATATATGTATTTAGGTATATATACTTTGTGTTAGTTTTTCGATACTTTAAAGGTATGTTTAATCACCATTTACCACCAGGTGGTTAGTAAGTCTTTGTTCCTACTAATACCATTAGTAGTATAAAAATATGTGATTAAGTTATGTACCCAGCAGGACAAATTATCTGTTTATTTTTGTTTATTATATTAACGTAAGGTCAAAATTACAATGAATAAATTTGACAGATTGAATGAGGTTACTCTGCTGATCACTGTACTTAAGAAATCAATGAGTTTCGAAAGTTTTAAAGTATTATGGAAGTATTTTTACGCAATGAAATTGTGTTTTAAACATAATTCAGTATTATTTGTTTATAAAACAAAAAAAGTTTATTTATTCTAGGTAATATTATGTATATTATATAGATAGTCTTTAAAGTATCGATGTATAACACAAAGTTAGTGATTGTTCCTCGAATTCGAAATTTTATTTAAAATTACATTTTTAAAAATGTGCTTTCGGTGCTTGTCATAAATTTTATTTATTAGAGAAATGTTTATTTATTCGTTATTTATGTTTATATTCTGCTCTGGATAGTAAATATTTAGTTACGCATGTACTTAGCACTTGCACTTTCAGTTTAGTTTCAATTATTTTGGTTTAAGTTCTGTGATAATGTGTGATCAACGATTGTCGTTATATCATTAAGTCGCTTAACTAGACAAATTTTATTTTAATAACGATAACGATGTACAACATCTTTGATCCGATTTTCCTAAAGTGTAATTATATAAAAGTGCACATTATTTACACAAAAAATTTTAAAAAAATACCTCAATTACGATTACGTAATTCTTATTGTTTTCTTGATTTTTTTATTGGAAAATTACTGGGTTTTCTTTACGCTTTGGGGTCGGATCGTGTACCAAATATTTTGTAATTTTCCCATGTCTGAATTCTCTCGGATTTTCCTAAATTATTTGATAATTGTCAACAATTGAAATGTAATTTTGCTATGTTTATAAAGTAAGAATTTGAATGTCAAAAAGAGTTTCGTCCCACCCCGTCCTAGACGGATACCAAAAACGTGTCAAAGTTACATAATTTGAATTCATCTAACGATGACATTCCATTTCAGTGTAGAATCTCGCATTTCAGTATTACATTATTTAAAATAGATGTCATTAATATAATGTACGACAGTATTTTAATGTTATTAGAATTTCATTTAATCTCAGTTATTTAACTAAGTTTTTGAGCATTTATATAGTTATTTGATTACAGAATTTAAGCACATTTTGGTTCATAGAACATTATGTTTGTAAGACAGTGTAATGTATCATTAGATAATTCTATATTAAGGTAATTGTCAACATTTTGCTTTCAAAACTGATGTAATTTCACGATGGAAAGTTATTTTTGATTAATTGTACCCGTGTGCTGTATTATGTTGAAATAAAGATATTTTTTAATGGAAGCGTTGGTTTTCTTTATTAAGTCTTTGCCAATGAATTGCCAGTTCTGCAGTATATACAGCGATTTCAAATCAAAATAATTTTTGTTTGCAAATAATTCTAACTTGAAATTAATGTTATTTTAGAAACATGGATTTTATTATAATTTGATGTTCTTTAGGTTGGTATTGTTCGTCGAAACAGTCAGCCTCACCTGTTAATTGAGCTGACTGTAAACCGACACATGTGCCTTCTGAGCGGGTCCGCTCAAACTGTTGTGGTTCTTTCCTCAAAAGGCCATTGCAGAAAGAACTGGCACGGTTCTCACACATAATCTTTTATACACAGACAAATGTCTGGAGTTTAAAAGAGACAGACCTCTGAGTTTGTTTCGGCATTTCTTCTCAGAGTAATCAGTTAGGAAATGTCGACCTCATCCTTCGCTTGATAAAATTGACGTGTAAAAGTGCTGCCTTGTAGCCTATTTGCAGAAATAAATTCACTTGTTTCACTTGTTGTTTCACTATTGATTAGAATTACATATTCATCGCATTTCAATCTTTTTCGTCATTATGGATACGTAAAAATTTGAGTAATTATTGAATATGAGTACCGTCGTGCCAGGAATGTCGTACAAGCGGCACGTGACGTCAACAAAGTTCACGGAGCTAACACTACAAACCAACCAACATTTTTCGACCTCAAAAATGAACCTCGCGGTCGTCCGAATACTGGTCGACAATGACTATCGTCATTGTGGAATCTACGGTGTCTACAATCTAAAGGTGATTGTGGAATCTACGGCTGAATTAGCAACAGCTTTCGACGTTGACGTCAAAACAACATTGGTCCATTTGCGTCAAGTTAGCAAGGTAAAAAACCTTGACAAATGGGTGCCCCACGAACTCAATGACCGCCAGCGCGAAGAACGCGTCGAGACGTGCCTTGCACAGCAGTGCGAGGCACGTTTGACGAATTTTGAACCGCAATGTTACCTGCGATGAAAAATGGATTCTGTTTGATAAACGCAAGCGCTCAGCAAGTTGGTTGGATCCTGGTTCAGCACCTAAACAATGCCCTAAACGAAAACTTACCCCCTAGTTTTTTAGGAGGTACGACGACATACCCGAGCGTACGGCGCGTCGCGTTCCGCGCGCGCCTCAAAGAGCCATCAGACCACCAGAGATGGGGCCCAACAGGGCTGATGCCGATTCGGAGTCGCGGAGAACCTAACGGGTTGGCAAAGAGCATTGATTGCATGGGTGATTATTTCGATCAATACAAATCTTATCTCCTTAACTACAAGTCTGATTTGAATAATTCTTTTTGTGTTGGATAGCGCATTTATCGAGGATGGCTATAGGCTATAAAACATCACAATACGACCAATAGGAGCTGAGCAGAGCGTGTGAAACCGCGCGGAAGTAGCTAGTAAGAATTATATGGATAAAAGCCTTTAGTTTTTTTGTACAAAATGCAAAATGGCTTACTTATTCAAATCATCTTAGTATATTGTTCCTAATACATTTTTTAAGGATAGAATGGCACTAAAATGGCTATGTCTCAGAAACTAGAGGTGCTAGCTAAAAAATAACCATAAATTTTCGAAGTGGGAATAATCTTGGGTGCTTCTAAAGTGCTTACTATAAAACCTAACGTTACTGTTGTATCGTCCAACACTTATAATTTGTTGAGGTGGGATTTTTTATTGAGAGCTTAGGGCTGGCCTAGAGACTCAAATTATTTTATAAAGGTAATCTTTGGTGATTCTGGCCGTGCACAGAGCCCACGTTAACTGGCGAAAGGTATTAGCCGTAAAAGTATTATTAAAGGTATTAGGTTATAGGAAATCAGTGAATGAAAGACTGCCTCGTTGTCCGAGTGGTCGCAAATGCGACAGCCGGGCAAGGGGTCTCAGGTTCGATTCCCGGGTCGGGCAAAGTATTACTGAGTTTTTAAAAATCTTAGTAGTAACATGGAGTCTGGCAATGTGCCCGGTATATGGCAATAGGTACACCCCCTGTTACATGGGACTCATAACATAAATAGTGAAAAGTGGGTGTTACATTGTACAATGGCATTAAGTGCCGTAATGTGCACCTCTGCCTACCCCTTCGGGGATAAAAAGGCGTAATGTTATGTTATGAAATCAGTGTATTATTAAAACCGATGGGCGATGTCCACAGGGGTTGCCACACATAAAAAATACGTGACATTGTACATCAAATTCTTTTAAATTTGCATACTTTGCTGGAAATAGGAATTTAATCAACAGAAAATGAAACAATAGGAATCAGATTAATCTTCTTTATTTTCAGTTAAGCATAGAATAGTTACAGTATCCCAATTTCTCCAGTCTAATTCGACAGTATGTCTCACTCACGCACCACGTAGTCTTCAAAGAAACATTAAGTAACGTACATATGATACCGTCGGTGGCAGTTCACATGCTCGCCCGAAACTAAACAATAAATTTCACATAATCTTAGAAAACTCTATGATCGATTCCTTACCGTACACGGGGAATATACATGCGACTAACTAAAAATACTTAAAACTAAGATACATAGGTTTGTTCTAGTTTGAAATGTAACTGTTTAACAATTCCTCTTACAACTAATATAATTGTTAAAATGTCACTTGTCATGCAGTTAGTAATATTTGATACAATACATGTTACAAAATTTTTGGTAATAAAACATTAAAACTTAACGCGCCGTAAACTTGTATAACTGTAGAGACGAAACATGAGAACGCATTGTAAGGAGGCGACATCTACTCACCGATACATGGAATGTTAACTAATTACATCTAAAGCGTTAATAGTACCACAATACTGTCGCTTACGAATAATTAAATACTTAACGATATAAATAATACAAAGAAACCTAGTACAGGCAGACGCGAGGTCGTGTCGCCGGCCCCGACAGTTGGTACCGACCCGACACCGACAGTGCGCGCGGCTACAGCGGCCCGGCCGTGGCATACACTATACAATACAATATCGGTGCAAAATGTCTAATAGATAGGTACTACGCACTATTTAGAATAGTTTGTGGACACTTGAGCTCCCGCGGGCTGCGACGCGCACCGCCACACGATCCATTACGATTATATAATCATTTTATATAATAAGTCTTTTCTTCTACATTAACAATAATTTGTTATAATATAACCGATGTAATTTACGAATATTCTTTTTCATGTTAATTTGTTTATAATGTACACGATTTTAAATTTGTTTCAGTGCTCAATATTATATATTTTTTTTTATTATAAAATTCGTTGGCTACCTAATCGAGTGGTGATAGCTATGAAGGACAACAGACTACATTAGGGAATGAAATATATGATACAGGGAGTGGCGCGGCCAGTGACCGGGATACACTCGAAGACCACAAATAGATTAGAACAAGAGTGTGATCACTGTCTGTGCCTCTCGATGTATTACAAAAGGGGCGGGATAGAACGCGGCAACGACCCAGCCTATGTACACGCTGAATACAAAAAATCACGAAACAATCAAAGAATAAAACACAAAGCTATACAATTCTCACTCCGAATTATTTCGAAACGAATGTACAGTAAAATGTTGAGATGCCGCGCCCAATCCCGCGCAGTAGGTATACAGCTACAAGTCTAGCTTAGTCTAGGTAACTAGGGAATACACTAACGTCGGATAAGGGCTATAAACAAGTACCTGAGACCGATCGGTCATCAATTTTTCAACTACTTTTAATTCCTTACGTGCCTTCCATTGAGCGATTCACCAGACTCGCGTAATTACCATATCATATAATTAGATTAGACTACTATATATTATAGTTTATTGCTCAAAAACAATGATTCAGAAACACGATCGTGGACAACGCCGCCCTAGCACGGTGTATGGAAGAGGCACAATGGCGGTACAATGTCACAATCGCGTTACCTTTCTCACAGAAAGGTGAAGATAGAACTTTCAAAAATATTAAGTCTTATAATATTTTCACGTATAGTAAGTAAGTATATTATATATAGACGAATAAATTTGTTTAATTTATGTACAGAAGCGTAACCCGTTCTAGCACAGGGAAGATAAGTGATCTAATATTTTTATTAATAGGACATAGTGTGAATCTGCTCCCTACCTAAGTACTGAAGCGTAATGTTCGACCGACGCACGGAACATTATGAGCACCAACATTGGCTACTTAGACATGCACTCTTAGCCCACAATTTAATAAAATCTTTATCATTATCTGTAGACAAAATTCGTTTTGATGATGGTAACACAATATCAATTCCTTCAAGTACGTAATAAATAAATTCAGATCTGAGATTTATACATTTGTTCTGTAATACAGGGAATGTTAACAATACCTAAATATACAATACAATATAACAATGAAATAAGTACATTTTCGCATAATATACAATAAATATTTAAGTTCCAAACGAGTTTATATTACATCCGATAATTTTACATATACTACATAAAAATAATACTTTTTACTAAATACTTAAAATCGTGTTTCGTTAAGTTTTAACAAATTACCATTACTTTAGAACGGTTTCAAAAAACATTAAAATTATTGTTAATACAAATTACAAGATTTACAATAACGATAACAACTGTTGTGTGTTTGTTAACGTGAATTTGTTAATGTAACAATGTTTAGAAGAAATAGTGCTTAAAGCAAAAATGATGTTTATTTTTTCAAGCGAAGAGAGAAGCCATTGACGTCTAATATTGTGCTTACATTGGCACGTTGTGTGCGTTACAAAATATCCAAATTTTATTAATTACACTTTACTTCTAATTTTACACTAATTTAGTAATGCCTTGAGAAGAGTATTTTATATAATTTTCAATGTATTTCTACGGCTTCTTCTGACGAGCTTGTCGTGTCGAAGTTTTACAAGTTTTAGAATCGCTGTATAATATACATACATATTTACAAATTTCAATATTTATTATTATTATTACGAATATTTATTTTTAATGTAATCTTCAAAAACTTTTTATAATTTTATTAAGTTATTATTATAATATACTAATATATATCTGCACGATCGCCTATTCTGGCTGTACCCCTTTGTAGGATAGCAAGTTAGCGTGATGATTTCACGACATTTTTATTTATATACCGCCACGAGACATTTTTAATAAGGAGCCAAACATTTGAAATGTTGATTTTTAAGTATATTGCCAATCTTTTCAATATTATTCTAATGAAAGTTGTGATATGAACAGCATTGGTCCATAGTACAACTTCAATTTGAATCATAACAAAGTTTTACATCAAATAAAATAAACAAATAATAATCGAGACAATTTTTTTATCTCTTTCAAACACTTCGAACGCAAATATATTTACAGATCCATCTCAAAAGGCTAATACTCGAACAATAAGGCATAAAAGTAATAAAAAGTTAGTGTACGAATCAATGGCTTGAGTGGGAGTGTATCAGTAGCGCGGGTCGGGGCGCGCGCGGCGGGCGGGCCGGGGTCAGTTGAGCGGCAGACAGAACATGTGCTGCAGCAGGGTCGGCTTGCGCGCCGGCGCCTCGCTGCATACGCTGTCGTAGTCCGACGACGACGACTCTGCACCGTACCCATACGTCTGGAGATATGGTTGTTATTTTAGTAAGTCCACCAAGTTCTCTAATCCCCAAACGCCCAATCCTCAAATCCTTAACCCACAAAGGCAACACACTTGTATCCCCTAGTGTTACGTGCGTCTATGGACGGCGCCGATTGCTTACCATCAGGTGATACATCTATTTGTTTACCGGCCTAAAAAAGTGGGTGAGTCGGTAACGAGTGAGTGATTGAACAAGTAATAAACAGGTAAATATGAAATGTATAAGTGAATGAGTAGTAAATGAGATATTAAATGGAGTGTGTGAGTGCGAAGTGTACGAGTGATAAATGTGTGTGTGGATGAGTATGTGGGTGACTGAGTGACGAAGAAGTGAGTAAGTATCTTGTGAGTGAGTGGATGAGTCTGTGGGTGACTGAGTGATAAAGAAGTTATTAAGTAATGAGTGATTGTGTGGATGAGTATGTGGATGACTGAGTGACGAAGAAGTGAGTGAGTACTGAGTGATTTTGTGGATGAGTATGTGGATGACTGAGTGACGAAGAAGTGAGTGAGTACTGAGTGATTTTGTGGATGAGTATGTGGATGACTGAGTGACGAAGAAGTGAGTGAGTACTGAGTGAGTGTGTGGATGAGTATGTGGGTGACTGAGAGGCGAATAAGTGAGTGAGTACCGAGTGAGTAGATGAGTATGTGGGTGAATGAGAGACGAATAAGTGAGTGAGTACCGAGTGAGTGAGTGGATGAGAATGTGGGTGACTGAGTGACGGAGAAGTGAGTGAGTACCGAATGAGTGGAAAGTTTCTTGAGTGTGAGTAGAAGACAGTACCTGCGCGGGGTCGTGGTAGGGGTGCAGCAGACAGGCGTGGTGTCACACGCAGTCCTCGAGCGACATGAGGAGCGGGTTGACGTACTCGAAGCCCTCGAACTCCGACTGGTCGATGTCCGCGATCACCGTACTGGGACACAAGAGAAATTGTTACACATTACATGGAACATGTTAGATGCAAAGCTGCTCTTGACTACCCCAGTGTGAACTAGTCGAGTTAATACCTCGTCAGACAGTAATGTGAGTAAACCATAATACGTAACTAATTTATATGTCTTACGAGAGTTATAATATAAAATTACAAGAGTATTAAACTTTCTTACATAATTTTTTTTACTTAACATTCCGTTATATTGTAATGTCAAAAATTAAAATATATATACATATATATGTATATATATCACCTGTTCCTGAAATAAAACTAATTTCATTCCGCGCTAAGCGACTACCTAGGGTACACGCATTTATTTTGTTCGCTGCCTTGTAAATCAGAAGTTCCCAACCGCGGCCCGCTTTAGTTATTCAGAAAAATGAATTGCGACTCGTGTGGATCCCGTTTCACTGATGGTGTTCAATGTGGATTGTGCAAGAAGCACTATGATTTTCCTTGTGCCCAAATCTCGGAATCAGGCTGGAGAAAATTGGGAGTAGAAAGAAGGGCTGCTTGGAAGTGTACAGTCTGTAGGGGCCGTGCATCGCCAGCGCCAGCTACACCGACACCTGATCCACCGTCATTGGAGAATATTATGAAGGAAATTCAGGCCCTGAAGGCTCATTTGACGGGCTTGCCCACTTTAGTGGAGGATGTCAAAACCATCAAATCAGAAATCTCCGAAATGAAGACAAGCTGCGAATTTTTGTCTGGTAAGATCGACGATTTTGCAACCAAAATATCCGCTATTGAGGCTAGGGTATCGTCTTTGGAGGACTTGAATGAAACTGTGTCAATATTGCAAAGCGATGTTAAGGTGCTGAAGTTACAATCCGGTGCCAACGATCAACGCTCCAGGCTTAACAATGTGGAAATTAAAGGAGTACCTGAAAAACCTAATGAGAACTTGTTTTCTGTCATCGAGGCTATTGGAAATGCAGTGAATTTTAACATACCTAAGCCGCAAATTAACTACCTTTATCGGATCCAGGTATCAAATACTAAAGAAAAATCTATAGTGGTCAACTTTGTGAATAGGTACGTCAAGGAAGATTTTGTGGCATCGGCTCGAGCTACTAAAACTTTGACAACTACGGACGTCGGTTTTAAGAATGTTTCCAGACGCATATTTGTTAATGACCATTTGACCGCTGACATGAAATTACTATTGAATAAAACTAAATTAAGGGCAAAAGAATTCCATTTTAGCTACGTGTGGGTGAAATACTGTAAGATACACGTACGGAAAAGTGATTCTTCAAAGGTTATTATAATTAATAAGGAAGAAGATTTAAACAAAATGGTTTAGTATGTTTTTATGTTTTTGTAGTTTTAATCGTGTTGCATTGTCATAGTCTACTATCACATTGCTGGTTGCAAAGAACAACTTTAGCAGTACCGTTTGCTCGTATATACTTGAGTCATAACAACAAAACAGCGGGCCATCAAAGGCAGTTGACCACCCCTGACGCGTTCAAAGTCCGCTTGAATCTTTTACTCGTACATTTTTACATTACGCGGGTAGCCGATAATTCCGTTGTTTGTTGTAAACTTTTTATATTGCTTTTTGTTTCATATTTATTGTGTGTTGCATGTTGTAGCTTGCCTTTGGATGTCATGCTTGCTTCAAGTAATCATTACGTTGCTTATAAACTATTTGCTTTGTTTGGTGTGCTCCTGGGGATTTCGACGGAGTGTATGAATATTTGCTTTTCCTACTTCAAGGTGGACGGAAATGTTTGCTTTATAGCATTTGCGTATTGTGATTATAGACGTTCATTAACATTGATATCTAATTCAGTGAGTGGCTTAATAGTGATCAATGGCGCGGAAAAGTAGTAACATAACTGTCTATTATCAAAACGTCCGTGGTCTGCGATCCAAGACAACTATGTTTCTACGAAACTTATGCTTAAATGATTACGACTTGATAGTTCTTACTGAAACCTGGCTTTTAGATGGTATCAATAGCTCAGAATTATTTGATGACAGATATACAGTGTGGAGAAGAGATCGTGATTATGGTAGGACTGGCCAGACAAGGGGAGGGGGCGTATTAATTGCGGTACGGACTGATATTCCTGTGGTTTCACGCGAGTCATTTCATTCATCGGCAGAGGATCTGTGGGTAACATTATCAATAAAACAGGGCCGTAATATGATAACTAAAATTAACATCTGTGTGTTATATCTTTGTAGGGAAAGTCAAGGATTTTCTTTTACTGAGCAATTACAAAATTATCTACTTAAGTTGAACGATACAATTTTGAACAATCCTCAAGATAAGTTCATCGTTTTGGGCGACTTTAATCTAAGCGGTATTGACTGGCTACATACAAGCGATTCTTTTTATCTACCCTCAAACTTATCACATAACGACGAATACTTACTAGTTGATGAGATGCAGTTACACGACCTTTATCAATACAATGGAGTCTTAAATAATTATGGTAGGATTCTAGACCTTGTTTACTCGAACAACTCAGTGACCGTTATTGGCGTGGACGACCCGTTAGTACCAATTGATCCATATCACAAAGCACTATCCATAACAATTAATTTCGTACAGTTATCATTTTTACCACCTAAACCAAAGAAAAAATACCTATATAATAAGGGTGACTATACTTCTATCAATGAAGAGATCTCTAGGGTTGACTGGGTTACCGAATTTCACAAGCTTACGCTAGAGGAATCGGTGGCCTTCTTCTATACTTCTGTAAACAATCTTCGTGACAAACATATTCCCATTAAATCTGTTAATCGTAATTCTTACCCGGTTTGGTACAGTACATCATTACGTAAAGTCTTAAAAGAAAAACTAAAATATTTCAATAAATATAAAACGTATAAGCGTAAATCAGATGCAGAGACTTTTAAACTGTTGCGCGATAGGGCTCGACGACTTGAAGGGCGGTGCTACAAGCAGTATACAGAATCTATCGAAAATTCTATCGCGTCTAATCCTAAACATTTCTGGTCCTATTACAAAGCACGCTCAGGTTGTAATAATATACCCAGTAGCTTAAGGTACTCAGATAAGCTTTTAACTTCTGGCGAGTCAATATGTAACGCGTTTTCTGAGTATTTTCTGTCAACTTTCCTGAATCAGTCAATCGATTTTAGTAACTCCTCACTGAACTGTGATCCATCTGAGATAGGTCAACCCTCAGACATTGACCGTGTGGACTTCACGGTAGCAGATGTGGGAAGGCTTTTATCGGGGCTGGATCCATGTAAATCTGCTGGTCCAGACAATGTCACATCCATATTCCTTATCAAGACTAGTGATAGTATAGCCTTACCTGTATTCCTCTTATTTCAAAAATCTCTGTCTTGCTGTCGGGTGCCTCAAATTTGGAAATGTGCGTTTATTACACCTGTTCACAAAAAAGGCTCCAAAACTGATATAGTGAACTATAGACCAATATCTAAACTGTGTATCATTTCTAAAATTTTCGAAAAAGTCGTGTATACCCAGGTTTATTCTGCAATTAAACAATCCCTCAACTGCAGTCAACATGGATTCGTGAAGGGTCGTTCTACAAATTCTAACCTAATTGTTTTTAACGACTATCTATCCCAGTCCATGGATGCAGGCTTCCAGGTCGACGTGGTCTATACTGACTACAGTAAATGTTTTGACAGAATAGACCACAGTATGCTGCTTCGTAAGCTTCAAAAAATCGGTATAAGGGGTGATTTACTTAGATGGTTCTCTTCGTACATTGATAAGAGATCTCAGGCTGTCGTTATCAACAACTATATGTCTGGCTGGGTTACTATACCCAGCGGTGTTCCACAGGGCTCTCTAATTGGTCCGTTGCTGTTTTTGATATTTGTGAATGACATTGTCGATTGCTTCCACCATAGCAAAGTTATTTGCTTTGCTGATGACATGAAAATTTACACAACGATCAGGTCAGCGGCGGATGCTAAACGCCTTCAGGAAGATCTTGGTAGACTGGATGGGTATTGTTTACAAAACAAATTAGATCTTAATCCGGTAAAATGCTCTGTGGTAACCTTTAGTCGAAAGAAAAACAATGTATCCACCCAATATTACCTCAAGGGCCATCTGCTTGGTAGACTCTATTCGGTTCGTGATCTAGGTGTTGTACACGATTCGAAACTCCTATTCGACGAGCACATTGAGAAAATAATTGCAAAAGCATCGAGGTCTTTGGGTTTTATTATGAGATCGACAGCCCCATTTAAGAATGCAAAAACATTCAAAATTCTATACTGTGCATATGTGCGAAGCATACTTGAATACGGATCGCAAATATGGAATCCCCGATATGATAAATATATTGCAAGAATTGAAAGGATTCAAAGGAAATTCATTAAATTCTTGTGCTTTCGTTTGGCAATTCCTAATAAACCTGGGTATGATAACTATATTAAACTCTGTAAACAATTTCACTTTCTTCCACTTTATAAACGTCGCGAGATAGCTGATGTTACTTACATCCTATCCATAGCGAATGGTAGAGTTGACTGCCCTGAACTCCTTGAAAAGTTGTCCCTCAATGTTCCGTCGAAATCCTTTAGGAAGCACGCACCTCTTTGTGCTCCGGTAGCAAATAGTAACTACAGGCAAAACTCATTCTTGTGTCGAGCCTGTCGTACTTTTAACGACATCAGTAGCAAGCATGATATAGATATCTTTTGTACAAACCTTAGGAAAGCTAGAACGATGATAAGTGGAGATTTTTTTAATGGCTGATTTTTTATTTATTTTATTTTATTTTTTAAATATGTATTCACCTTTTTTTTGTCTTTATTTTAATAATTTTCTTGCTGTGTGCCTGATTTTAATGTATTTATAATTTTAAATTTGTCTTAGCTGTTACCTATTAAGTCAGTATTCGTGTGAATCTATAAGTGGCTCAATGTTACTATTTTTCTGCTAAATCTGTGTAATGTAGCTGTTGATTCACCATTCAATAAATAAATAAATAAATAAATAAATAAATAAATAAACAATTCTGTACTATTATTGATGATGTGTAAAATATGGTAGAATGTAGCAAATATGTTGGAGGCCGATCAATCATTGATACGTGAATTTAAATTGAATGCATTAGATGTTGGTTGTTATTCCTCTATTCTAACGAATCCCAAATCGTCTGCAGCCATTGCCCAGTGATACTTTAAACAATTTAATTAATCATGTTAGATGTAAGAAAATTAGTCCTGACGGGGCTGACATGTTCTTGAACGAAAGTCCCTAACACCACAGATAATAATAAAAAAACACGTAGGTCTATATATTATAAGTAATGTAACTAACTCATTATCAGGCGTGAGATGCACCGGCTCGTCAGTGAACTCCGGCGGGAAGTTGGCGAGGTCGCGCTCGCCCTCCAGGCGCGGCTTGAATGGAGGCACTACCTGCTTCTGCTCCAACTGGAAAGTAAAATGAGATATTAAGAGCTGGCTGTAAAATTAAGGTACTTTCCTTAATCAAAAATTAATTATTTCGACTGTTCAGTACAATAAAATATCAAAAAATATTCACACCTTCATTTATTGATTTTATGACCAACTTAATTATAGTATTTCTACTTCAAATTTTAATAAATAACTATACTCTTTGACGCTAAAATGAGATTGTGTATTGACACAATCTCGTATAAAATTCATAGAAAACTGTCGTTTTTGACAGTTCGAAATAAGTATTGAATTTGACTAGTTGGCAAGTACCTAATCATGGAAGTCGATATTTGGTCTAATCAAGATGATAATTTAGTAACACTATTGTTGTTCCGGGTGTGGGAGTCATGTGTATGTGAACTGATACAAGTCGTGGGTGCGGTTACATAGGTATGATTGGCGACACAGGAGAAAATCCAAGTGTGGGGTAACGTTTATTTAAACATAACATAACATCACGCCTTCTATTCCCGAAGGGGTAGGCAGAGGTGCACATTACGGCACTTAATGCCACTATACAATGTAACACCCACTTTCCACTATTTATGTTATGAGTCCCATGTAATAGTGCGCCTATTGCCATATACCGGGCACATTTCCAGACTCCGTGCTACTACTGAGAATTTAAAAAACCCAGTAATACTTTACCCGACCCGGGAATCGAACCCGAGACCCCTTGACCGGTAGTCGTACTTGCGACCACTCGGCCAACGAAGCAGTTTAAAAAATAACATAGTACATACCATCTCCCACTCGATGCTCTTGAAGAATGGATGTGAGACAATGTCGAGGAACCCGTTCTCCCCGCAGCCGAGTCGTTCCACTGGGTTCTTGTTGAGGAACCCCTTCAGTACTGACGCGGCCTTCACTGACAGCGAACGAGGGATACGGATCGTCTTCTCTAGGATTACCTGGAAATTATTATTACCCAAGATAAGTGATGATTACATTTATTAATATAAGTTTATTTTTATGTTTAAATTAAAGTGTGAGTAAGTGTTGAAATTTCATGAAAATATTTATGATTTTTCTGTCGGTCGAAGCGTAACAGGTTTATGTGAAGATTTATATTAAGATTTACCGCTTGCACAGTTTAATATTCGGTGTAATTTATGTTTCATCACAAAACAATCAACAATCAATTTCCATCATAAAGAATTTTTACTTTGTAATCCATAACTTCAAATACAAATTTCAATATCGTTCACTATGCATTTAGGAGTTAAGATAGAATAAAAGATAACAAATTCACCACTACAGCAAATTTTTACCATTTACCGTACCAGAAGCAGTCGGTGCAACTACAAACTACATACCTGGAACAAGTAATCCTCAGTATTTTGGTCAGGGTTGTCAGCCGCCTGTGCGATGTCGAAGGGCGAGCGTCCGGCCAACATCTCGTAGGTGAGCACGCCGAGCGCCCACCAGTCCACGGAGAACCCGTACTCCTCGCCGCGCAGGATCTCGGGCGCGATGTAGTTCGGAGTGCCGCAGAACGTGGACGTCGTGTCGCCGGGACGTACGCCTTCCTGTGGACAGAAGTAGGTATTGTTATAGTAATGTTGTAGTAATATTCAAATATGGCTTCAAAGTCATTCAATTTTAAGATACTCTCAAACAACAACATAAACTCTGAAATTAATGAAGTATTTTTTTTTTGGTGGAAATGGATTGTGATCTTTAACTGAAAAATAGAATACATGAAGATTTGGATGTTGCGAGCAAAGCTGAAGATGTAGATAGATAAGATATACATAACAAAAAATATTATAGATGTATTATAAATAATGAAGATGCTTTGATGAAATCTGCAGTAGCAGTAGGAAGATTTTATATCAGTAGAGTATAGATTACTGAACTAATTTTTATAGGAAGCAGGGACATTCTCTGTTGTCGAAAAGTATTATCACATACTTACATACATAACATCACGCCTTTTATTCTCGAAGGGGTAGGCAGAGGTGCACATTATACCACTGTACAATGTAACACCCACTTTTCACTATTTATGTTATGAGTCCCATGTACTAGGGGGTAAGCCTATTGCCATATACCGGGCACAGTTCCAGACTCCCGTGCTACTACTGAGATTTTTTTTAAAACCTAGTAATACTTTGCCCTACCCGGGAATCGAACCCGAGACCCCTAGCCCGGCAGTCGCACTTGCGCGACCACTCGAGTCACGTCCTCATAAATATAACAGTTAAGATCATAGTGGTTGTACCTTGCACATCCCATAGTCAGTGAGTTTAATATGTCCCTCGTGGTCGAGTAGTACGTTGTCGAGCTTGAGGTCCCTGTATATGACGCCGCGCTCGTGTAGGAAGTGCAGCGCGAGCGATATCTCGGCCGCGTAGAACCGGGCGTGCTCCTCCGGCAGCCTTCGTTGGCGCTGCATGTGGAACCTGATTGGGGAAATGAGGATTTATACGGTAAGGATATGAATTAAATAATCTTTTTTTTTTTAAACGTTGCCCCACACTAGGATTATCTGCTGTGTCGTGGGTGCGTTTACAAACATACAAGTTCACATACACACGACACCCAGACCCGGAACAACAATTTGTGGATCACACAAAGTTTTGTTTCGTGCGAGAATCGAACCCGCGACACGATGCACGGCAGTCGGTTGTTCAGCCACCGTACCAACCGTGCAGACATTGATAGGCCGTAGCAGTTCACAGCTGAACTAGGAGCTTTTTATATGAGGGGTTTTTTTCCTCTCCTCTTATAATAATCTTATGATTTATTCCGTTGCCGGAACAAAACAGTTATTCATGTCCCTGAGACGCGCCAGACTTCGGTATTCCGGTGTTATCCTGGTTGTATCTACTGTAAATACTGGCTTACAGATGTTGCAGTGGTATTGAGGGCGTGGCGGACTTGACTCAATAAAAAAAAATTAATGTTTGTTGTAATTTACATGTTTGGCAGGTAGGTCGTTTAAAATTTTCAGGTTTAAAGGTTCAAGTTTTTCAAAAAGTGCCGTTGTTCGGCCTCTGTCAAATATGCAGTTCCGTATTTAGGTCTACGACACCCGTTGGAAGAGTAGGGATAAACACAAATATATTTTAGGTCCGTCATAAGTTGCATAGAAATAAGACAGCTTGACCAACAGACGAAATTATTCTCTAAAGCACAACCAAAATAAAGTATAAAATCCAATGTCACTCACATGAGATCCCCGCCTCTAACGAACTCAATGACAAAGAACAGTCGGCTGGGGGTTTGGAAGCAGGAGTGTAACCCGACGAGGAATGGATGGTTGGAGGCAGTCTCGAAGACATGCTTCTCTGTCTGCACCCAGTCGATGTCCTCGTCGTCCGTCACCAGCGCCTTCTTGATCACTTTCATTGCGTACACGCGTTTTGTGCGCTTCAGTTCCACCATCAGCACCTGAAATGTAATTGGGAGTATGTGTAAATTAATTTGTTGTGGTGATAAAGGAATTGTAACTGTGTTAGGTAGGGTAGATGCCTAATTTTTATTTTAATGTCATTCTGGTAGATTATTTTAAATCATTAGACACGTATTTTTTATTTTCTTACAGAAACGAATTCTTTCGACGATATATTGATTTGAAATGTCGCGTGACGTTACTTCTATGTACATTTTATACGTAGAAATGACGTTTTAGCCTAACTTTGATTCGTTTTATCTAAGTATTATATGACAAAATAAAAAATACGTGTCTAATATTTTTTCATTACCAAACTTCGGAATAATTAGATTTTTAATGTATCCCCTATCATCATCCCAATTGTAAACAGTAAAATGTTTTGATAACGATATAAATCAACGCCTTATTCTTAGGAGGCCAGGGAGACTATAAAATATTAATATTAATTTGTGACATGCAAACACAAAAATACAAATCTGAGTAGTTTTTGCTCTTCATAATCGGATGGACTTCATTTTGTTTGTTCGATCTTGTATTTGGTCTATTGAATAAATTATAACCTTACTAATATTATAAATCGGAAAGTCAGTTTGTGTGTTTGTTTGTTTGTTCCGCTTTCACGCCGTAACCACTAAACCAATTGCTTTGAATTTTTGCAGGCGTAAAGTTAGAAGTCCTGATTAAATAATAGGGTACTTTTTATCCCGGAAAAAATTGATATTCCCGAGGGAAAACAAAGTATTGGTATAGATGGCGCTGTGTATATCGGTATATACATAGGCTACTTTTTATCCTTTTGTGACGCGAGCGAAGCTGTGGGTAAAAGCTAGTATAATATATTTAATAGACTAAATACAAGATCGAATCGAATCGATCGAAGAATATATAATAGTCAACACTTTAAATATGAAATCCAAGTTTACCTTAGCATAAGATCCTCGTCCAATGACCCTGATGAGCTCGAAGTCATCGAGAGAGTACTGTCTCTGTGAGCCAGGCTCCAGCTCGTCCGCGCGAGGCGGCGCCGGCGCAGGGGCCGGCGGCGTCTCCGGCAGCGGGGGTTCGACTTCCGCGCGAGACCTACACATCACCACGCACTTTGAAAACAACACCTTAACTTTGTAACTACACTTATCCTTAAATATCCGAATCACTGTAAATATATCTTTTAATTTTAAACACAATAATTTGAAAAACGGCAGCATTTTATACGCTCATCTATTTTTTTTTAATCTGTTGTACTGTTCTGTGGTAACGGTATATAGAGACTGGGTACCTAAAATGCTGTCAACACGCTGTTACATATTTACAAATGAATTCATTGGTCGCTGACTCACGTGTCTATCGCCGGAAGGTTAAGGTTATGAAAAAAATACTGATAACGGGAGCCCGAAACATATATTTATGTGCAAAATTAGAGTAAGAGTATTGTTGTAATATGATCGTGGGGAATTTTTACTGATTATATTACTGTTGAGGTGGATTTTTTGTACATTTGTGTGTATAACTTTAATTATTATAGTAACAAAACAAAATCTTTACGCCTTTGAATAAAACAGGAGGCTGAGGAGCATTTGTGTCGTTTATGGTATAAGCCGGTAAACGAGCAGACGGTTCACCTAATGGTAAGCAATCGGCGTTACCCATGTACACCCGGAACACCAGAGGCATTACAAGTGAGTTACCAGCCATTTGGAGATTAGGAATTTGAGGATTGTTGAGGATTCAGGGATTGGGGACATTGGGGAAGATAATATAATACTTAATTGTAACCACTTTGGTAATAAGTCCCTCTAAATAGGCGATGAAAGATATATAGCATAGCAACATATTGCTAAAATTAAACATTTAACTTAAATCATAAGTTCTTACACTAAGAAGTGTGGGAGAGCCATGCTTCGACACGAATGGGCCGGCCCGACCGGAGTGATACTACGGCCTCACAGAAAACCGACGTGAAGCAGCAACAGCTTGCGTTGTATTTCGTCATGTGAGGTTACCGGAGGCCCAATTACCCTCCCCTTCCCCAATCTCCCCAATTCCTGAATCCCCAACGATCCTCAAACTCCTAATCCCCAAAAGGTCGGTAACGCACTTGTAGCGCCACTGATGTTCCAGGTGTCCATGGGCGATGCCGATTGCTTACCATAGGGTGATCCGTCAGATCGTTTACCGGCTTATGCCATAAAAAAAACTAAGAACAGATGGTATTTAAAAATAGCAACAAGAGATTAATGAGTAATCCAATTTATCTTTTAGATAAAACTCAAATAAATAGAATTATCAAGACATCCTTACAACAATAACGACCTATATGCTGATATAGTGATTTTGTGTCATAATATTTAGCGGATTAGGTTGATATTTGCATAATATATTATGTCGATATGTACAAATATGGCGCCCGGCGCTATCTTGCATTGCAATGAGTAAACGGTAAGATTTTAAAGAAAGTGATAACTTGAAGAAGTGGTTGCTCTAGCGGCTATTATTTAGGAATATTGGAATAGCAGTTGAACACCAAATGTTAATAATTGTACTGCAATAGAGGATACGAATCTCGGTAATTCACTTTGGACATAAAAAATGGTACTCCAATTAGTTGTTTCCCGCTCACTTTTACTCATTATGAACTCCGAGTACTTCAAAATAAAATATCTAACACTAAAAGTATTAGGTGTCAAAGAAGAAAATGTCCACCAGGTCCACAAGAGTCCAACTAGAACATAAAGAAACATGACAGCCAACGAAGTTAATATTTGGTCATGAATTACCAGTTTAAATTTCTTACCTAACAGAGGACGCTCGTCCCAGCGTGCTTTCTCCGTTGGCATCATCCTTGACCTCGATGGGGTCCACATGTTCGTTGGAGCACGGCTTCTGCACGAGCTTGTGGCACTTCTTGTGCACCAGCAACTTGCACTGGATGCACTTGAACCCTTGCCGGCCCAGGCCCCAAATACGGTCCTGGCAGAAGGCACAGAAGGCGCGCTGGAAGAAGGAAATAAGTTATTTTACGAGTCTCAAGGAAATCAATATTATGAATCGGAAGCACTTCCTCTGTTACCTTGACTTACCTACCTACTTGCTAAATAGTGTTAGAAATTATTGTTTGGAAAGTAAAAATCTACAGCAAAATTTTTCTACCATAGAAAATTATAATATCATTTCAGGGATTAGTCGCTGTTAGTTTAACTAACCCATTTTTACGACGAATTATTTATCAGTTAGGTCATAATGCGGTTACTTTGTCATTCAAAAATAGACTAGCCAGATATTACTTATTTCTGTTTTTTAGTCAGTAAGAGTCTGACACTCCTTCTCGCCTAACCCGAGGCAGGAGAAGACATTGGATGATTTACCACCCTCAAAAAAAAGATAACTTATATTAAAATTTCTCTACTAAAAACTACTAAAAAAACCTGTCGCCACAGGTGCACCAATCTCCAGTATGCATCAATAAGTTAAGATATAAAATACGTATATATGAATAAACTCACTCTGTTAAATCGCTTCGCCTGGAAGATGTGTCCATTGACGCGGTATAGCTTCCGCCACCGTCGAGCGCCTCTTCTGTATATGCTTCCTGAAATTCATATAAAAATATCATGAGAAACCCACTTAATGTAAATAGCAATAGGATTGAAGTTTGATAGAGGTCTTTAATAACGGCCAGTCTCAATAACCTATCTGTCTTATTGCCGCCTTTTTTTTTTGAGGGGGAGAATCATCCAATGACTTCTCCCGCCTTTGCCGCCTAACGCCTCCACCGCCACTACGAGCTGACGAGTTCACGTCTGTTTGTGTCCAGAATCGTATACACTATAATAAGGATGTTTTAAAGTTAATTTAAGTGAAATTAGGTAAATAGAAGTAGTCGATTGTAGTAAAAATAAGTACCTAGACAGACAATGCGTATTCACCCATTATGTGTTACACCCTAGTGTGTCCTAAATACGTATGCCTAGCAAAACATAATAAACAAAGATGAATTATTTAGAACCTAACCTAGAATATCCAAAAAATATCACCTAAATTGACAATAGCTCATCAATGTGACTATACTCGATCACAATACCACAGCAAATACTTTTTTCATCAAAATAGCTTCTATAAAAACTCCAACATTAAGTACAAAAGGGAAAATTGATAGTGTAGCATGTATTTAGTGACTTTCCGTATAAAACGGTTAAAATCCATGTCACTTAAGGAAAACATTAATCTTTGAGCACGCGATCCTATTGCAATTTAGGGTGCGGCCTCGAAACCAGCCATCCTACGAGTATACAGCTAACGCCATGTTGTCCGTATTTAATCTAGGTTTTAAAAAACATTAACGGTTTTTTGTCTTATTCAATTGCAAATTAAGTTAATTCTCATGCGCATGCAACATAAACTTGGAATTATTTCAGCAAATAGAGGTACAACTAAACATTACGTTTGTTTTAAAGAAACTAAAATTTAGAAGAGATAACTTTTTCTTATTATTAACAATTCCGAAATATTGAGGCAACCACGATAAAATAGTCTAGTAGTTATTATTTATACATTGTTTGTTTATTAATGATAAATGATAAATAGTTCTTAGGAATGTTTATAACTATTTACAAACGATTAAGCGGCAGGAGGTCATTGAACCGCACTATCAATTACTACGATCATTCCACTCACTAAACACTATTAACACTTATTCACTCACAGATACAATTCACCAAATCCATTAGTTACGTTCGATTCCATAAATAGTTATTAAAAAACTTATGAAAATAATTTAACACAAATAAGTATTGAAACGCGCTACCCGCTGATTTCCTGGCCACACATTTATAGGGTAGATGACCCAATTATCGGGCTTTATGCAAATATTTCCCAATGTACCTTTTAACAGGTGCTTAGCTATTTCAACGGAGCAGGACATTTATTTTGAGTGTGGGCTCATAGTCGCAGGTTTAGGCACTATTCCGACTCGCAGCTGGCACGATACTGGCTTATCATTTTTAATCTTATCGAGTTTAACGAAATTATTGAATCACACCTCAAATAAGTCGATTTCATTGAAATCTTTAACAAATAACTGCAATTCCGATATTTTGGTTCTTAAGTTGCTAATCGTGTTACCGTTGATGTTATCATTTTTGTTTTTATATTTTTTTCCGTAAACTTTCGGCTTTGTAAGAAGAGTGACGATTGTAGTAAAATTTCTGATTGATAATGTTACATTTTAAGAAATTTGTTGCTGATTCGAGTGGAATGCTATAATCATTGTCATATAGATTATTTTAATTCCATAATACGGATAAACGAATAATGTTTAGAAATGTAAGATTAGGTTCATGAACCTTTATTTCAATATGAATTGTGTAGTACATATTATCAGTAAAATGTCAAAGACTACTAAAGTGCCATGTTTCCGACTAGACGTGTCGTCCGACACAGGCAGCGATCACGATTAGACTGACCAAAGCTCATTCTTGCAAGTGATAAAAATAAAAACTGCGTTTAAAAATACCGACTTCAAAAACTAAAAACAAACGAAAAGAAAAAACTAAAAAGCAAAAAATAACTATTTTTGGTCATACGTATTTATAGCTTACACAATCGCCTGAGAGGAAGCCTCAAACAAAAAAAAAGAATTTTTGAAATCGATTCAGGCGTCTTCGAATTAAAAAAACAAAATACAGACGAATTGAGAACCCCCGTCTGAGAGGAAACCTCAAACAAAAAAAAGAATTTGTGTAATCGGTTCAGGCGTCTTCTAATAATCGAGTAACAAACATAAAAAAAACAAAATACAGTCAAATTGAGAACCTCCTTTTTTTGAAGACAGTTGAAAATGTAATTCTACCCTCCAATTTTGCATAAACAAATGAAAAAGAGCAAAGTTGAGTACCAAAACTGTAACTATATTACAAAATCCCTATTTAATAAATGTTTCATAATTCTATTTCAATCTACCCAAATTATCTATTAACTTGTCGAGTACCGTCATTATAGACACAATTATAGAACAATAGGTTGCGGTCACCGGTGACCGCTTGGTGTTTGACAGTTTAACCCGTCGAGCGCCCGCGTTCCTTATGAATTTCCTTATCCTTATGCATGCAAGAAAATGCATTTATTTGGCCATTGGCACACGAAAACAAGGATCATTACAATACAAATAAAACAAATACAGTCAAAATAAAAACAAAACATTAATAATAGATTTTATAAAAGAGACAGCAGCATGGAGCATTTTTTCTTATGATCCACCGGGTGCTCATAAGAACGCTCGAGGGGTTAAAAACAAAAAGATTTACATTTGCAACTATATGCGATAATAATATTACGTCCATTGGTATGCTAATGTGGTGGTAGATCCGCGGATACCGCACGATCTCTGGGGAGTCGGCGAACCTCCTTGCCGGATTACCGCCGTGGGATCTGGAGGCGAAGGTGCTCGCGCGCGTGTACAGCATGCGCGCGGAGGCACGTCGCCGGGGCGAAACCCCGCTGCCGCGCCAGATAGGTGCGTGGCGGGATGAGCTCCGGCGCGATCTCATGGCGGAATGGCAGCAACGACTGTCGCAACCGAGGGCTGGGCTCGCTGCCATCGCAGCGGTAAGTCCCCTCTTTGAGGAGTGGCTTGAGAGACGCTACGGCGTCCTCACCTACCGCCTGACGCAGGTCCTCACCGGACATGGAAGTTTCGGGAGGTACCTGTGTCTGATGGGGCGGGAGGAAACGCCCGGGTGTCATCACTGCGAGGACCGCCCTGAGGACACGGTGGAACACACGGTGGGAGAATGCCCTTCGTGGGCTGAGCACCGCCGTGTCCTCAGGGAAGTGATCGGCGATGGCGACCTCTCGCGTCCGGGCCTAGTGCAGGCCATGATGCGGAGCGAGGGGGATTGGGATGCCGTCTCCTCCTTTTGCGAAGCAGTCATGCTAGCTAAGGAGGAGGCGGGACGCGTGAGGCAGCGAAGCGCTGCCTCCTCGCAACCCAGCCATCGCGAAGGACACACCGGGCGTCGGGGATCGCGGGACGATCTCCGGCCACCGTAAGCGCGGGCCTGCGGACGGCGAGCATGGGTGGCTCCCCGTCCGACCAGAAACAGACCCGAGCGTACGGCGCGTCGCGTTCCGCGCGCGCCTCAAAGAGCCATCAGACCACCACAGATGGGGCCCAATAGGGCCGATGCCGATTCGGAGTCGCGGAGAACCTAACGGGTAACCGGGGCTCCGGCTCGACGTGCAGGAGAAGGAACGGGGTGGTTTTTATGACAATGTTCACAACGAGATTTTAGCAAACACCCCACCGCTGGTCGTATTTACCCGACATTCGTGCTCCAGACCAAATTACATTTGCTATTAAAACTAGAGTACTGAAGATTTATTCTATTTTATTTGAATATGTTTAAATATTTGAGTTATGGTTTTAGGCGTTTAGTGTTAATATTTATTGTATCATAGTTTATAGAACTGTTTCGTTAGCCGAGTTGTCTCGGGTTCGATTCGGTCTGGCAAAGTATTACTGTTTTTTTTTTTAATTCAGTATTGTGCCCGGTAAATGGCACTAGGCAAGATACGATTTCTATTATTAACGTTTACATACAGGTGGTTAACTAGCAGACGGATCACCTGATGGTAAGCAATTTGCGTCGCCCATGGACACCTGGAACACCAGAAGCGTTACAATTGCGTTACCGGACTTTTGGGGATTAGCAGTTTCAGGATCATTGGGGATTCAGGGATTGGAGAGATTGGGGAAGGGGAGGGGGGTAATTGGGCTTCCGGTAACCTCACTCACACGACGAAACACAACGCAAGCGTTGCTTAACGTCGGTTTTCTGTGAGGTCGGGGTATCGCTCCGGTCGAGCCGGCCCATTCGTGTCAAAGAATTGCTCTTCCATACTTACATGCCAAGTTATGATAGCAGTGGATGTTGTAAGAATTGGCTAACAGTCGAAAGCTAATTTCAAATGAACTATAACGTTATCTACACTAAAACTGGTTTAACTTAGGCCTATTCTAATAAACACGTACTCTTGTCACTATACAACAGAGACTCGTAAATCAATGGCACAAGATCAAACACGCCAGTTAGCTACATCAAAGGACGATTTTACACTGAAGGGTAAACACGGTTACTTCGTATCACTGTGTACAGAAAATTACATAGACTGGCAGAATTACACACAACTGCCGTTGATACACTGGCTGGACATGTACTAGGGACGTTAGGGTGGGGACACAATATTGTGTTGCGGTGATTGATGCGAAAGCAACGTGACGTCGTTGAATATAATGCGATGATTATGATTAAACGCATTAATTTTCATCGCGTAGGATATCTTACTTACCTACATCGTTATAGTCGATTCGAATAGACAAAATATGCTATTTTAATTACGCGTGCGCGGTCACGGCGACTAGGCTGCGCGACTTCACCGTGACCGCGCACGCTGCACATGAGGAAGAACCCTTCTGTGGTTCGAAACTAGTAGAGCTTTTCACGGTATATTCATGTGAGTTACTTGCCATTTTTAGTTCGTGTTTTTTTAAGCTTAAAATGTAATATCTTACTCTAGTTAACATGGCTATTAACTGTAAATATTGCATTACAAAACCTATATTGTTGACTTTTCTTTAGTTCAATCGACTGACTTGTATGCCATTTATTTAGGGTGCAATACAAATGATATATTTGTATGGTTTTCACAATGAGTTATATGGCATCGCATAGCGTAGCGTCGTCGCAACGCAATGTTGTGCCCTCGCCCTTACCTCTGATGTACGCTGTTGACGTACTTTTAATCAAAGTTTGAGATTTTAGCAAATATGGCCAACTGTTGAGTTTACTTTTTTGCGAGGAGCTTTGATTATGAGCACGTTTGTAAAATGAGGCTAGTTTGCATCTGTTTTAGTTTTTGAGGCATCAAATAGAAGTGCTTTAATTGTTGAGCTTGCAGTACCTACTCATTACTACCTGAATGGATTTGTAGTGGGGTATTTCGTGATATGATATTACATGGGACTCATAATATAAATTGTGGAAAGTGGGTGTTACCTCTGTGTGCACTTCTGCCTGCCTACGGGGATAAAAGGCGTGAAGTCGTGTTGTATCTTGTTGATATGAAACCAATGTCAAAATGTACCAAATTATTAATAATTGGATTTATTACTAATACTATCGAATTGCGTGTGTTAGTGCTATCATCATGGCGCCTTTTTCCAATTTATTTAATTAACATTTTATTTCCCTAATTACATTCAAGGGTTTCGAGATAGTTAATATACATCCGATACGCACATACTGTTCAATAATATAACACTATCTATTCACTGAATCACAAAAAAACCAACCACAATAATGTTCTACTATCAAAATAAAGGCATTAAATTAAGTCCACCTGTACTTGTTTTTTTTTGTACATAACCTAACATCACGCCTTTTATCCCCGAAGGGGTAGGCAGAGGTGCAAATTACGGCATTTAATGTTTAATCCATTTTTCACAAATTATGTTATAAGTCCCATGTAATATGGGATGAGCCTATTGCCATATACCGGACACACATCCAAACACCGTGCTATTACTGATATTTTTTTTAAAACCCAAAATGTAATATTTTGCCCGACCCGGGATCGAGACCCCTCCTCGGCAGTCGCACTTACACTGACCAACGAGGTAGTCTAAATAAATAAACGATTCTATAAAGATCTAAAAATTGTAAATCTCGAAACCAGCAAAGAGATGAAGCGTAAGTACAAAATATTATGATGATAGGTAGCATAGTACGAAATATGCTTGGATACCATCCCGTACTTCGTCGGCATCCATAATGTGCATCATTTCAACGTATTCACATGGTAATGTTGGTGGTTGACAAATATCGCTACCACGATTTCTGCGCTGAGACTGGTTACATTTTGTTGCTAGTTTTAGTTTGTGTTGAATATGAAATATTCATATCTTTAAGCTTTCAGCTGGTTTTTGTTAGATATCAGATGTTATCGATGGTAGTTAGTAGGTAAAAATTGCAGTTACTAATCCTTTGTATGATCTCAATTTTTTAATCTATTTACTTTCATATCGACCACTATCCATCCCATTAAAAATTGTTTTCATTATGCCAAGTTTCCAGTAAAAGTATTGATATTCCAATGAATTACCAAAGAAACAAGAACAAATTCGTCTGAATTGTACTCTGAATAAGTTGCCAGGCCATGAAAATTATAAATCTAATTAGCCCGTCAGTTAGATAATGAAAAAATATTAGACACGTATTTTTTATTTTTTTGTATAAAGTTAGATAAGTTGTGACGTCTCACGATATTTCAAATTAAGTAATATACCGTCGAAAGTATTTAATTTTGTGAGAAAATAATAAAATATATGTGCAATATTTTAAATAAATGTACCAGACGGAAATTACAATAAAAAACAAAGAAACCATACTATTCAATAATTTTTACTTCTGCAAAAAATATAAAATCACCTTCTCCCTAATTTAACAAAACACACACATAAATTAAAATCGATCTGTTCACTAGACAGGTCTTAAACTAAGACCTAAGAACAAACAATTAGGACACATTACAAATCTTCGTGAGAACAGAGCCACGTGAAATGGAAACAAAACAAAAATAGACGAGAACAGGTCGCAAGTAATGAGCTTAGAGAAAGGGTAGTAGGGAGACGGGGGTACGTTGTAACAGGAGTAAATTTAATAGATGGTAAATTAACTTAGGTGTTTTTAACAACAAACATTGACAGTCCTTTAGTATCTTCAATGTTAAATTAATGATTGTGACGTTTGAAATTAAATGTATGTTATTTTAAGCTATGAAATTCAACGTGCGATTTTCAAAACTTTAACTATGACACTGCTCGCAAGCGGTCAAGCAAGTCGGTAAGTTATAAACCTGCTTAGGAATCCCTTGAAAGTTATATCCCGGAAGGATTCTTCTCGGGAGGATAACAATTTCACCAAATAAATATAATTTTATTCAAAGAACTCAATTATCACTTATCATCATAATACAAGACTTCCATCGCATCAATTTTACTCTTAAGCTTTCCAATAGCCGTTGTAACAAGCTACCCATGTCGCGGAGAACCTAACGGGTAACCGGGGCTCCAGCTCGACGAGCAGGAGAAGGAACGGGGTGGTTTTTAGTCAGTAAGAGTCTGACACTCCCTCCCGCCTCACCCAGGCGGGAGCAGTCATTCGATGATTATACCCCCTTTAAAAAAAACCCATGTAACAATTAACCCCCGTCTCCCCAAGTATAGAGGTACTTACTGTCTTCACCCGCGCATGGCATGCCCGGCGCGGCCGGCACATTCGGGAAAACTGTAACAAAGAAACAACACAGTTGTTACAACTCACTATATACACAGATACACACGTACTCACACTACGTAATTACACGAACAGTGTACAAAAATAGAAGAAAGGGATAATGAAAGGGGTTTTTTAGTTAGATTTGTAAGGGTTCTGTATATTACAGGTATATTAAACGAATAAACTGTTTGATTCATTAATTAATTGTTTTTACATAGCTTTACTATGCCGTGTATTAGGAATGAAAATATTGATTGTCAAAAATGGTGAAAGCCTTTAAGTTATTGTCAATAATAATCACGGTTTTTTTGTCATCACACCTCATTAATAGTTTATACTATACCTTTTGTAAGACATACATTATCAGAAGGTAGTTACTATTTTTTAGTTTTGGTTTCCCACAGAAAACACACGTTCCCGTACACACGGGATTCTAAACAGAAACAAGCATCTTATTCGTTTATTTGCAAAACGAAATTGCATTGCTTTACAAAGAAATAAGCTATGGTGAACGTCGGCACTCGTTGTCGGCGGGCGACAGCCACACAGCGACACTGCGACATCGCGACATTGCGACAACGGTGCGACATTGTGATTTTCCGCAGCCACAATTGCGCCTAACTACATTATTTGCTGGATTCTCTAGAGGACTGGCGTTCACTACTTGTTTGATGTCGCCTGTTTATTGAATTATAAGTGGGAGTCTTCGAGATGATTCGTTATGTAAATATAGATAACTTGCTTTTACCCGCGGCTTCGCTCGCGTCACAAAAGCATAAACAGTAGCCTACGTGATAACGTGACATATACCAATACACACAGCGCCATCTATACCAATAATTTCGTTTTCCCTCGAGAATATCAAATTTTTCCGGGATAAAAAGTACCCTATTATTTAATCCAGGCTTCAACTTTACGTCTGCAAAAATTCAAAGCAATCGGTTTAGTAGTTACGGCTTGAAAGCGGAACAAACAAACTCTTTTTCCGATTTATAATATTAATAAGGATTATTATTTGAAAATTCTTTGCATTAAGTTTTGATTTACGTAAGGAAGTAAAAGTGGGTATGTATATAATGGAGCGTAACACGTTTAGCATGGACTTTTAACACAGCATAGAAAACTGATAAGAATTGTGTCCAGGGTATCAAAATTAAAAATCTAATTAGTCCGTCAGTTAGATAATAAAAAAATATTAGACACAATTTTTTTATTTTCTCGTATTAAGTTGCAATACTTAGATAAAATGGCGCTAAGTTTAGGAGTTCCGAGGTCGTTACGTCATAACGTGCCACAAAATGTGGCACGCTGTGACGTCACACGATATTTCAAATTAATATATCGTCGAAAGTATTTCATTTTGTGAGTAAAGAAAAAATACGTGACTAAAGTTTTAAATTAATCTGCCAGACGGACATTAAAATAAAATTTAGGAAACTACCCTACAACTACCTACAAATTCAATAAAAATACACACAATAGTGTATTCTTATTGAATTTGTATTTAAACCATGGCGAAATCCTTAAGCTTAACAACATTTTATTCTCAAATATGCAACCAATCTACCAAGACAATAAACAAAGATGGTTAGCAGAATTAAGTAAGAACCTAGCCAGCTAACGTTTGTAAGTTAATTTAGCCAGACATAAATAACTTAGGTCATTTCCTAAGCTTAGGTAATAGTCTGAGGGAAGATGGACGTCCAGATTTATTACAACATAAAGTGACTGTTACTGTTTCATTTTATCGTACACATGAGAGTGTCCATATTATGCTAGCCGCAATAACGTAGAATATTAACGCTGTAGATATTGCGAGTAGTTTTTCCACACTTCGGACCCAAGTAAAGGTATCCACCATCGTTTTTATTTTTTCAATTCTTGATAAATATTTTCTGGTAAAAGTATCTAATTTTATATAATATATATAA